CGGCGTTCCACGGGGCGGCAGAGCCCGCATCCCGGCCCCGGCGGCCCCGCCGCGCCCGGGGGAAGCGAGAGAGCCGGTGACCGCTTCGGGGATGTAAGCAGACAGACGCGGGACCCCAAGCCCGCATCGGCTCCCCTCGGCTGCCTCCCGGGGCGGGGGCGGGCTCCGCACACGGTAAGACCTCTCGCTTTCGCTCAGGCTCCAGAGTCGAGGTATAGATATGTGCATATGTTTTTAATTCCCTGTTATCCTTCCAAGTTACCGGGCCAGCGGTGATTTCTGTTCTCTCTTCTTGAAGGAATAAATCTCTTTCCCCATCGGCTCGACCTACTCTCACCCGCCGCTTAGAAATAAAACTTGGCTGTGTTTAGGAGCTGGGAGCCAGAAGGCGCCCACGCCGGGCGACGGGAGCGCCGACAGGGCATCGTTCGCTGGAGCCGGGCCCATGGGCCGCTAGCAGACCCCCAGCTCCGGCCCCAGGTGCCCGCGGCCCCTCCCCATGTGAGGCGCGCGGGGCGCGGGAGGAAGAGCACCCACGGGCCCCGGGCCCAGGCCGCTGGCAGCAGGCCCAGGCGAGCGCGCACCCGGGTCCATGTTCCGCCAGGAGCAGCCGCTGGCCGAGGGCAGCTTCGCGCCCATGGGCTCCCTGCAGCCGGACGCGGGCAACGGGAGCTGGAACGGGACGGAGGCGCCGGGGGGCGGAGCCCGGGCCGTCCCCTACTCCCTGCAGGTGACGCTGACGCTCGTGTGCCTGGCCGGCCTGCTCATGCTGCTCACCGTGTTCGGCAACGTGCTGGTCATCATCGCCGTGTTCACCAGCCGCGCGCTCAAGGCGCCGCAGAACCTCTTCCTGGTGTCGCTGGCCTCGGCCGACATCCTGGTGGCCACGCTCGTCATCCCCTTCTCGCTGGCCAACGAGGTCATGGGCTACTGGTACTTCGGCAAGGCGTGGTGCGAGATCTACCTGGCGCTCGACGTGCTCTTCTGCACCTCCTCCATCGTGCACCTGTGCGCCATCAGCCTGGACCGCTACTGGTCCATCACGCAGGCCATCGAGTACAACCTGAAGCGCACGCCGCGCCGCATCAAGGCCATCATCGTCACCGTGTGGGTCATCTCGGCCGTCATCTCCTTCCCGCCGCTCATCTCCATCGAGAAGAAGGGCGGGGGCGGCCGGCAGCAGGCCGAGCCGCGCTGCGAGATCAACGACCAGAAGTGGTACGTCATCTCGTCGTGCATCGGCTCCTTTTTCGCGCCCTGCCTCATCATGATCCTGGTCTACGTGCGCATCTACCAGATCGCCAAGCGCCGCACGCGCGTGCCGCCCAG